AGAGACTGTCTGGTGTGGGCTCAGCTTTCACAGATTAAAAAAAACAATTCTGAACATTCAAAGGGAAATTCTCAGTGTCAGCTGATGCGGTGCTGCCTCCTGATCTCTGCAGAGCCACCAAGCTGCAGAGCTATTCCACAGGTAAGCTTTGCACATCGAATATTTCCTAATAAATGCCAAGGGCAGCCTCACCTCTCCCAGCTGCCGGCTTACACCCACTCCTGCTGTGACAGAGCTTACCCGGGAAAACCACGGGGGTGACAAGTCTCAGGTAGCATCAGTAGGTTGGTAAAGTGGTCTGGATCGGAGAGGGATACAGGTGGTCAGGGCTCTGGGCTGCCACAGCTTGCTGAAGAGCTACCAGGATAAGATGGAAATGTTCATCTTACAGAGAGGCAAATGCATCTCCCATGGGGTTTCCTGGGGAACCGTGGGCACCAAAGCGCAGAACCACCTGCGCACTCCTGCTTGGCTGTCCTGCCCGCGGGGTGACATCCGCAGTCCCGCTCCCTTTGACAGGTCAGCGAGGATGGTGGCTTTTCCAAGCCACCTGTGGCAGGTGTCATCTGTCTGCTGTGGCGTGGTCAGAGTCAGACGAGGAAGCTGGGAGTGGTGGTGGGGAGATGGTTTGTAGACAATAAAGGGGGCAAAGCTGGAGAGCAATTTCTTTGAGGTGTCTTGGTTTCCTTCCTTCTTCCTTTTAGACATACATGGACGTTGGGACTCCATGCTTTTAAACTGATTTCTAATGCTACCTTTGGATTTTCATTCTTCTCACCGAAGAACCCGTACTGCTACCCCGAGGCCCACCTCGGCACGCAATTCATTGCTACCCAGCTTGGCAGCCTTCTCCTGCGAGGGCCACCTCTGCTCCACTCTGGTCTACCAGATTGCCTGCCCCTCGTTTGCCCAGGGATGCAAGATAGGAAGGTGGGGGCAGGATAGGAAGGTGGGGGCAGGACCTGCAGCCAGCTGAAGGTGGCAGGGCGAAGTAGGAGGCTGTGGCAGGCACCACCTGCAGGCACTGGCTTGAGGCACAGGGGATTAGTGCTTTGAAATGGAGAAATGGTACAGAAGAAAAGGCTGTGACACTGGGACGCTGTCTGGAGAAAAGAGACATAGGGGAAAGCGGGTGCTGTGGAGGGAGACCAGCTTTGAGAGGTTCGGTAGTCACCTCCTTCCCTCACCTCAGTTCACTCATGATTTCCACAGGAGCATAGCATGATGTCACCCTCCCGCAGTGACCCACTTGCTCAGGCACTGCCTGTCAGACTGAGAACAAACAGAAACCCCCACGAGCTGGGCTGGGACAGCACCGCCGTGCTGCCCACACTATGGCAATCTGATGGGTAAAATTTCGAGCACCATGCCAGTTGCACTTCCCACCTCTGGTATGATTTCCCTCCGTCACACACCCGCCCCGCCACTAAAATGAATGCTGAGTAAAATACAAATCAATCAAATCCTCACTAGTAAATGAAACCCATGAATTTTAAACATATTCTTGAAATTACTGTATCTTGTCTGTATATATGAGTTATAATTATTTGTGGAACTAACTATTTTGGTATCAACCCCCTAAGACACTTGGCAAAAAGCCATCATCTCATTCCATTAGTTGTGGCTACCCAAAACCATACCCTCCATGGCCACACTGACTGCAAAATCCCTTTCTTATGCTTGTCCTGACAGAACGTCTCCGGTCTGCAGTGCCAGCAGCAGCCTCCTGCCCTACTCTGAAACCCCTCATCTTCACGGAAGGAAAAGCCTGTTTGTAGGCTTGGGTCAACTGGTTTAACAAGTGCAAAAAAACTTCTCCAATCCTTGACAGTATTTTTATTGCTCAGAGGGACAGACAGGAGAGTTTGAAATTAAACAAAACATTTAGGAACTTGAAAGAGACTCATCACATGAACAACACATTGTAGCTGCATATTAATTTTAAGAAAGGAGAAACACTGAGTTGGAAATACAATCACAAGAGCTATTTCTTGAACTAATATTGAGCAATAGGGAAAAAAGCGCAGTCAACCCGTTTCAAGTGTTCACTGGACAGCAAGAAGGAAGAAAAGCTTCTATGAATTCCTGGAGCTTTTGATTCCTGTAATTATTTCCTAAATCGTGTAGAGTGCCTATGTTAGCTATGTTAGCTATATTAACATTTTAGATAAATGACCTGGAAAAATAAAACACAACAGAGTAGTGTGTGCACCGAGGAGAAAGAGGGGGCCAAGTGACTGAACTGTTTTGACAGGACATTTTTAGATTAATTTATCATTTATCTGGAACAAAAGCTGCCTTTAGCAGTAGTTGTTGCAAACTGCAAGGTCATTAAAGCTTTCACATGTCCTTCTGAGCAGCAGGTAATTAAAGGCATATCTAAAGCAAACTCAAAGCACGATTTTTGCATGGCAAGGTGTACCTGGTTAACAAAAGCATTGAGAATAGCGTACAGAGTGAGAGCCCACGTGCTGGAACGTCTCCGTTTCTGCTGTTACCGGACTAACTAAAAACTACACGTCTGTCTCTAAAGATGGCACAATTGCATGTTTGTTTTGTTTGTGCACGTTCTCTGGTTTACCAGGGTCTGGTTCCTACGTTTCAGTTATTCTCACCGAAGTCGGTCATAACTTGGAGCGTTCTGAAGGAGGTATGTTTGAAGTGTGGTTCTGTTCCCTAGAATAATTTCATGACTATGAACCCATCATCAGAATGCACACGGAGAAAAAGCTTGTGCCTGTCAGCACTGACAATGACACACAGTACGATTGCTGGACAGTGGCCGTAAGAAAAGACCAGTATTTGGGTAATTCATTAGGGTCATACCTGCTCACTTATGGACCACAGCAAATTTCTACACTCCTTTACTCACATCAGTCCTCTTGAATAAATATGATCACATGAGAAAGATTGTATTTCCTCTTGTACACTGACATTTCAGTAGGTCTTGTAAGATCTGGAATATTTAATCAAGTTTAGTTAAGCTATGCAAAGATATTGACCAAAGAAATACACGGACGTCATGTAAGCCTAATTTTGCCGTGCAAATGTCCCAATTCAGACCATTTTTCAGATGGCTCCTAAGCTTAGTTTACAGTTTTGGCACTCAGCAGATCACTGACAAGAAATATGACAGAAACCTCACAACTAGTGAAGTCATACAGTCATGGTACTCAGTGGAAATACGATTTTTTGGCTGTTTTAACAGATCCAGAACCTAATGGACACTTTAATTACTACATTCACCATAAAAGCAACAACCTTAATTTTATTTGTAGTGGACATTTCACTCTGTTGGAAGTTTTGTACTCACACCTTTTTTTGAGGAATAGTCTGCACTAACATACTAAGAATTGTGCATGTAAGCAGACAAAAGTAAGGAAAGTATGACATAGAAATACTATGCTAAATGCTAAACTGTAAATTAATAAATGGATGTCCCACTGAAAATCAACTCTTCAGTTACCTACCTTGTTATAGCCTTACTGGCAGACACATTCTGTCAGTTAATAGCAACTGTATGGAACTAGCAAGCTAGGGAGGTTCTGCAACACCGAAAGCTAATGCATTAGATCAATAGTGACCCTGAGATTTATGTCCATGTTCCTGTAAGTTTAATATCATGATATGATATGGTATCAAGATGAGAACATGTTCCTCTTTATGAAGCCAAGAAACACCTGAAATACCATGCTGCTTCAACTCAGATAAGCATGTCTGCATTGGAAATCTGTTAGGTCCAACTAATCGTGTCTTCAGTCTCTGTTTTGGAATAAGCATGCTAACCTTGACTTACATTTTTATGGCGTTTTTGCTGGTCAAAGTCCCTTGTTGAATCATCTAAAGACAAGTAACAGCTATAAAACCAGCAAACACTATTCATGTTTAACCATTTACTGAAAAAACATAATTTAAAAAAGGTAGGGAGACTTTTCAGAGATACAAATGGGAGGTAGACACCTCGCTTTAAGGTGTTTTGAAGGCCATTCATAATCTCCCTTAACACTTCATAAGTGGCACTTGAGTAATTATTAACTTGTCTAAATTACATATGATGACAGTAAAATGATTATGGTCTCTGTGTTATAGTTAAAGATAATAAAGCCAGAAAATTAAGAGAGACAGAGGTCCATGAGTATATATAGGCACCTGTGAAAACACTTCTAAAAAGATTTCACTTGTGTGGAAACAGCACAGAAGAATTACTGTATTTCCCTGGGCACCTCACATCAGATGACGGAAGATCAGGAACAAACCCCAAATACCTATAACCATCTCCTCTGCTCTATTGTAACTAGCCTGTTTTTCTGCATCGCTGTAACACTACTGTGTCTCAAACACAAGGAAACTTTGTCATGTGTAGTCCACACCCAAAAAAACCAACGATAAACTCCAACAGAAGAGATACAGGGATATGATACTATGACACAATAAAGAAAAGTTAAAACTTCAAGTTGGAGTCACTGTAAATAAGGGATCTTTAAAAAGTCCTCTTGAAATATTAACTTAATTCAGAACAAATCCTATGCTGTGTAAAACTGGAAATATGTTTGCTAAACATTATACCTCAAAATAAATAAAAAAAAAAAAGAAAAGAAAAAAGATTTAAGGGATTTTCAGAAAACTTAAGAGTTGACAACCTCTCCTGTTATCCAGAATGCTCAAATGATTGCCTCAAAGTGAGTGGTCCATATCTTACCAAAAGCTGTTAAATAATTTTTATCTTATTCTAGTAACAACAACAGTAAGTTTAGTTCTGTCTTATTTTCATGTACCTTTCCTTTTAAAGGCCTGTGGCTTAGTGTTCACAAATTAAAAAAATATTTGTAAATACACAAAAATAAAGCTTAATAGCACACAATATAAAAAATGATAAAGTTCAAAACCATTACATTATTATTATTGAAAAGTGCACTACATTTAATCTGCAGGTCAGAGATGCTTTGGTCATGAACATCATTTCATGATTAACTCCTTAACAAAGTTTTTCACCTTCTTAATTAAATGAGGAATCTTTCATCCACCAAGGTTTTGGATGCCAAATTCTTCTGCCCAAGTGTATTACGAATAAACCTAAATATCTAAGAAGATTTTAGAAAAAAATGTATTAACAAAGAAGTACTTAAAACAGTATGTTTCAGTACCTAACATAAAATAATAACTTCATATTATCTTTAAATCGTAAATAACACGAGTGAATTAGATGCTTAACTCCCTTTAGCATTTTTGAAAATTTCCCACTATTTTTCCACCCTGAAATATAATTGTGTGATTAATTTTAACAGATACTTATGGTTTCTATTGCAAGTTACTTGTAGCCTCTTTATTCATGACAGGCACATGAATAAAATTAATTTCTCACAAGCCTATTTGACAAAAAAAAAAATCAAAGAACTATTTTATAAGCTCTTAGTATGATCTTCTGTCACTGCATACTGCTTACTGCTGCATTTATCTAATTAACTATATAAACTTTCATAATAACCCACATTTTTAAAATATTATTTTGTTCTTAAATTGAAATTTACCTCCTGTTGCAAATATGTTAGAATAGCTGCTAAAACAAAACTTTGAGAAGCCAAATCCACAACGGAGAAAAACAGGATGTCAAAGATGAGCAGTGTTGTCTCATTGCCATAATAGAGAACATCAGTGAAAGACTGTCCTTCATCTACAGAAAGAAAATAATTTTTGAAAAATTATTATTTCTGTGAAGTGCAAGTTTGTGGAGTTCATCAGTCCATGCTGTGAAAGCTGGTAAGAAAAAAGAAAGTTAGAGCAAGAGCTAGTTATGGCATTCTATTGCCTCATAAGAGCTAGTTATGGCATTCTACTGAAACAAAATAATACAACCTTTTTCACATATGAAATGGCGTAATACTGATGGAAAACAGTAAGAAAAGCTCATGTGCCACAGGCAACTTTATTCACTCTTGAAATCTCAATCGGATTGTTTAAAAAAGGGCTGCTCTGAACAAGAAGCAGATGTCACTTCCTTGTCACTGAAATTTTTAGCAAGTGTTAACTCTGGCCCCAAATCAACAAAATAATAAAACCCATATGTTTAGAGCCTTACTCAGGAGGAGGGTCAGAGCTTAACATTATCTTTGTTCACTGGTTAACAGTTTCCTGGAAAATGGGTCTTTTAAGCTTAAAATCCCTTTTTCATAGCCAAAGTAGTCTAGACCACTTATCCGTCTCTATATCAAAAACACCACTTTCAAAAGAGAACAGAAAACTTAAACAGTTACAGAAAATAGATTCTTTCCCCTCTTTCTACTTTTTCACCAAAGTGTCTAATGCAAGTTTTATTGGAAACAACATGTTTTCATTACAAATTGTGTATCTCCTACTGCCATGAAATCCTGATTTGTATCTAAACTTCTGGGAACCATGGCAGTCTAAACCATCAAACAATATATCTATATCAGTGCTTATCATTATGAACTTTGAAACAATGGCAGTCAAAAAACCAAACCTTTGTTGAATACTGCACAATTTGGAGACATCACATCAAGCTTATACGCTTAATTCTAACTCAGACATTGCATACCTGACAATATTTCTGGCTGAGTAGACATGGGGTTTAGAATAGGGTTTTGGAATGACTGATATTGCAAGGTGTGGAATCACAGACTGAGGCTGAAGAAAGTCCTAGTTCTAGTTTTAAGGCAGATATTGGCTATTTGGCAACATCTATTACTAAAGACAGTGCTTCACCATGACAGGGGAGGAGAGCCCAAGCCTTTAATGAATTAGGTGTAGCTCAGACATCTAGACTGAATAAAAATACCAGACTACAACCATGGCTAGTTTGAAAGTTTATGCTGCATTCCTGTTTATATAGCAAGGTTTGAGATTCAAATTAGGCTTCAGCTTTTGCAGCCCTGGTGTCATAAAGCTGGAAAAGTCTTGCACAGCTCAGTGATGTAATTTGCGGATTGCTATTATATAAGAATAATGACATATTTAGGATGTGTTATGGTCATCTGGTAGTATCTATGGATTGGATTATGGTTCTTGTAAGGTTTAGAGCTTCTGAACAGTGAGGTTGGAGGCCTAAGTTCTTGAGGGACTCCAAATGAAGGCTTGCACCATCTTGGATCCCTAGTTAATGTTTAGTTTTCATGCAGGTGGCTGATGGCCATATTTATGGTTAGGGGTAGAGTCAGGGTCTGAACTAAGGTTGTCAAAGATAATTTTTGATGGTTTCTGTACAGCTCAGGGACTGAGGAAACAGACTGGTATCAGGCCTAAGCTCACAGCTCATAGTTCATCGCAGTGTGGTCCCCAGGCCTCATCTGTTAATAGGAGGAGACCAGGAGTCAGGGTTTCAGAACCTTGGAAGGGGAGGACCTAACACTGGATGAAGATTCCAGTGATGCAAGTGTTGGTACCTGGCAGTAATTATGAATAGGTTAAGGTTTTTAGAGTGTTGGTGTTTCACAGCATCAATCTTCCAGGGATTCTGATTTAGGAACCTAGGGTGAAGGTTGAGATAGGGTCAAGAACTTTCACTAGATCTGTTTTTAACACATGCACTGATCACTTGGAAATACTTATGGCTAGGTTTAGCATGGGCTTGGGATTCAGGATGAGCCAAGTCTAACTGATTTTGCATTTTGGGACCATAATCAGAACTGATGTCATCCCTGTTTCTGCTGGAACACTCATTTTATGCTGTAGGTATTGGCAATGCTTAAAAAGCTTCAAAAGAAAGTATTCAAGAATCTAAATTACTTAGTGGAATCTGCAAAGATGCGTGGTGTATTAATGTCAAGTATTCCACTAAAACGTCCTCACTGTGATCAATACTCTTTTTAAAGAAACTGTCTTTCTGTACTTTTAGTTGTTTCATAAAAAATTTGGTTCTATTTTTTAAAAAAATAGCATGGAGCTATTTAATTATTGTGGGTCTTCTTTCCATTTACAAAGCAGATATTGGATCTAGACAGCAAGTCAAAGGAGCACTTCATAAACGCATGCACGTCTCTACACAGTATCCTTTTAGTTGCCCAAATGAAAAAACGTTGCAGTTGAGCAACAAATTATAAATAGGATTTCTGTAACCTGAAGAACTTCTCTTAAATGCCTCTCTCACAAGCAGTCATTTAATGACCCCTCTTGCTGTCAAGTCCAGTTTAGATTGTAAATCCTGGGAAAGAAATCTACACAGAAACCTACATACTTATAATAGTACAAATACCAAGTCACAAATCTTTTTACCATTGTAAAAAATACTTTTCTCTATTGGTTCCATGAACTCCATGCCAAGAATCCGTTCGAGCAGCAACTTATCTTTAACAATATAATCCATTTCTTTATGAACCTAGAAGAAAAGGAAAAACAATACTTCTTGGTTTATGATTTCAAAGAAAAAGTACTTGTTACAAAGTGAAGTACAGCTACTTAGACCTTTACGAATGAAGAAAAGCACTGGTCTATTCCAAGACAAAAATAAGGACAGGACAAAAAAGGATTTGTCATTTTTAAGAGCAGGCCGCACTGTTGGACAGTACTCCTTTTTTTTTTTTTTTGAATGAAGCACTGTTCCAGTTGCCATGAAGTCTTTAACAACACGTCTTTAAGAACGTACTCTTAAAGAGAAATTACAGTTTTTCAGACTTACAATTTTTAGTCTCTATTTACTTTATTTTCCTTAATATAGTAATGTCAATATACATACGTGATCAATAAAAGAACTGAGAAATTTGTTCATGGTGTTGTATGCCCTTGTGCTTTGTTCAGAAGTATTTGCAGATGAGTCTAGAAGCCTAGCAGGACCACGTTTCTGAAATATAACACGACCATGACTTCAGTGGAAAAGCTACATATTTTAAATAACATTTACAGACTAGAAATATCTCACTTACTCTTGTTAGGGTTTCATGAATCCTGTCATAGTGCAGTCGCATTTTTCTTGAAATAGAAATCTGAAATGTCTGGCCATCTGTGTTTGGCAACAAACCTCTCTGACTACATAGATTTTCCTATACAATTAAAGCAATTGTAAATTAACGTTATTAATGTCATCATAGACCCCCCCAAAGTCAAAAGCTTTTCATTTCCTCTCTTTTATGTATACTTAGTACTTAATATCTCTAAATATTTGAATCCACTGCACTCTTGGTCCTATTATAGCAGATTTTCTTAGGACATGAAATCCTGACCTCTGCTGTCAAAAACTTATATTCCTCTTTTCACCTGTGTTCAGTACATTACCTCCTAATACATCTTCTGACATTCACTCTGAAGCTCGCTCTTTTATGTTTATAATTTATTCTAAACTTGTCCTGATTTTTTTTGTGCTTTGGATTCCTGACTTTTTCCATATGTTTTTTCAGGTCACATTTAAAAGACCCCAAGAAAATAGAAAATTTGACATCTCCATAGAGAAAAAACCTGCTTTTCCCCAAATTATATTAAAATAAGCAATTAGGAAAAAAATACAGGAGCATACAAGTCAAAAGTATTATGACATTATTCCTCTGCATTTCAATGTTTGAGATTTAATTTTCACATGGTTAGGTTTTTTTTCTGCCCACTTATCAATGAAATAGCAATATCCTTTGTACTTTCTTCCTACTTGCCCCTACAAAGATGCAACATGTCATGAAATTTAGTGCCAAATGCTCCAATCCTGTATTAGATATTTTACATTTGCCTCATCTTGCAGCAAAGATACAACATACAACAAACTAGAAAAAATACTTATTCAAATGAATTTCTGTAAAGAATAGGTTATATCACCACCGGAGAAGAGATGGAATAAAGGAATTTATTGGAAGAGTAGATGTTTCTTTACTAAGAGTTTTTCAGATTTGTCGCTTTATGAAAGCTTTATGCTATGCATCTTTTTGAATGTGACCATGAGCTTATGAAAAGCTTCAATATCAAAAAGAAGGTTCTTAAATAAACGAAAAAACTTTAGAAAAACAAGAATTTTATATTTATGAAATCTGAAGAAGTAACAGAGAAGAAGAGATAGTGAAGAATAAGAAAGATGAAGATCTAGTTAAAAGAACTGTTGAGTCATATATTTACACACCCACAGCTGGTATCTTTTAAGTATCATAACTTGGTGCAAGGTAATGTACAACTGCAGATCCATAATGCAAAGGTGTGGGTTTTTTATTAATAAAATAAATAATTACAGCAGGTGTAAACTTAATACTTTTACTTACTGCTTCTCTCTTTAGGTTCATATTCATTTCTTCCATATTGGTATCTGCATGTCCATGCACAGAACGACCATGGATGTAATAACCAAAGCAGCTGTGTGACAAGAGAAACACTGAAATCTAAAAGAGATGGGGGAAGGTAACAATACTTTAATTAAACATTATAATTTTATTTTTGAACTTTTGAATTCACAGTGGAGATCAGTAAGACCAGTCCTTCTGCAAATACAAAATAGGCAGGTACCGAAATAAATACGGCAGAAAAATATTTAATAACTCTTTACTGATTAGTTTTATTTATGTTTAACTAGAAACACACACCAGCTTCAAGTTTAGTTTATCAATGGCAAGGATCACTACTTAATTCCACAGAGCCTAACAATTAAGGCAAAGTTATTAGCTTTTATTTTGATTCACAAGTTATTTCTGTGATACATAATACACATGCATGATTTCAGTTGAGTTCCTAGGAGACTGTATTTAGTAGTATTTCATTCAGTATGACACAATGCTTATATATCACATAAAACCCCAAATTAACTCTCTCTACAACCCATGTACTACATGGGTGTTTAATGGAAGTGGAATAACCAAGGTTGGAAAGGCTGATAAAAGGGGTTAATCTCTATATTTTTAAAAAGTCCTGGACAAATGAGCTCATCCAACCTGTTCTGACTGACTGCACTCTTCTTTTTGTTTAAAAAGGAATTCCTGCAGTACAAAGCCTCAAGACCTGTATTTAAACTACAGAAAGGGAAGTAGTTCAGATGTAAGTGAAAATGCATGAAAAAAGTGATAACTGTCCAAGAGGGACAACCATGAAGTTCAGTGGTTGAGGGACAACCACATGATAGGAGCAGAAACCCAACATAAACATATTAAATAAAAGCAAGACAGCTGTGTCTGTAAGACAAAAGTACTAAAATGCAAACCAGTAGACAGAATAGCAGCAAACATTTCCACACCTAATTTCTGTCATAATTTGTTACTTTTTAATGCTGTATGAACATATGTAACCAATTTAACTTCCAAAGACAACCTAAAAATCACACGTCTAGAAGAACACATTGATACCTATGGTTCCAGAATCTTTTTCCAATTCAAATTTAACTGAAATCTTCTTGTAGATTGTACCAATAAAGTGAGCTGAAAGAAACATTGACTTTGGCTGTTAGCTAGTAATCTCTGATTAAATTAAACTAATAAATATTATTTAATATTCCTAAAACTATGTATTTATTATGTATGTATTATTTTGTTAGGTATTTTTCTATTAAAAATGCCACTGTACAAATGAGACAAAGAAATACTTACATTGCTCATGCAACACAAATCAACAAATTGGCTCATCTTATCTTCAATAAATCTTTCATAAAACACAGAAAAAAATATAATCTGAAATAAATCAACCAAATTTTCTTTTATTAGTTCATCAGATTTGACTCATAAAGCAATTAACTTCACAGTTTAACACCCACAAATTACGGACTTCTGTAGTGGCCACCATTGCATTGGACTGTATAAAATGGGATTGACATCCCTCCTCTAAGAAACAAAGTTGTGGCAATAACCTGCTTTTCATTTTGAACTTGGAGATGCTTCAAAGTTGTTTAAAACAAAACAAAATAGTTGCATAAATTCACATCTTTGAGAGGATTAAAATTCTGGCTACAAAGTAAGACATCTTATAGTTTAGAAGATTCATTTTGAGTTCTAAAGCAGCTAGAAGTCTAGATCAAGCAAAACAGTTAAGAATACACCCAATGCTATGATATGTGGTATGGATGGCCTAGTGATACATTCTAGCTTCCAAGAACCAGCCTGAAAATGATAATTCTGTATGTCATGTGTTTCACCTACCTGTAAGAAGGCAATGGCTAGCCAGAGTGCAGCAGACACACCAAATCTTAAAATGCGGCTCCAAGGAGCTATGTAACTCTCGCTGCTTCTTGTAAGACTGGAAGAAGAATCCATTAAAGCCAGGTTTGAAAATCCCACCACCTGAAGAGATAAGAAGGTCAAAGAACAACATGAGGCAATGAATAGTATTAATTATGACCCTGTTGTTACCACCATAACAGGAAGTAAGAAGAAAAAATTTGGAAAAATGGACCTGGGAATAGTAGCATGTTCACTATGATAGAGCCCAATTGTGTGATCCGGTGTTATTACTGAGAAACATAAAACCATAAACCGTACAACAAAAAAAGTCAACATTGATTTTTGCTGAAAAACTCCAAAAGATTCTACTGTTAGACTGCATAGGGATATTATTTCTGACAAATTTCAGCTTTTTGGTCCCATATATACCAGTGTTAAACTGAACATTTTATCTGTTTTGCAACTGTAGAAACTGATTTTTTTGTTTTTGTTGAAGAGAAATGTATTTCCCTCCACTGTCTTTATGGCTGAATCTATTTTAAACAATCTAGAAAAAAGTTCCTAAATAAAAGAGATGAGAGAAACACTATGTCTTGAAACACTTAAGAGGTGAAAATTTTGTGACAATCATTCAGAACTGAAGCCGCACGAGAAACATATGGGCAACAGGAAAAACAAAAGCAAGAAAACTTGTGGGTCAAGATAAAGACAGCTTAATAAGCAAAGAAAAGGGAAAAAGAAGGTGAAAAAAGCCTCCATGACAAGTGATGCAAAGGCAATCACTAAGTACCTCCCACAACCAGACTGATGCCCAGCCCAGAAAATCCCTCCCCCGCATTGTAATTGCTGAGCATGATGGTATATGGTACGGAATACCCCTTTGGTCCGTTGGGGTCAGCTGTCCCGGTCGTGTTCTCCTCCCAGCTTCTTGCGCAGCCCCAGCCAACTCTCTGTGGGCCTTCACGCCGTGCAAGCGCTTTCAGCAATAGCCAAAACGCTGGTGTGTTATCATCAGCCTTGTTTTAGCTACGGATCCAAAACACAGCACCCTATGGGCTGCTATGAAGAAAATTAACTCCATCCCAGCCAGACCCAGTCCAGTATTGAAAAGCTCAGTTTTGCTGCCAGAGTGCTGTCTACGCTAGCCGTGTAGTTGTCAATGCGACGGCGACACATGCCAACCAGCGGCTACTTTGGTGCCAGACGTGAGGCGTGAGGGGACAGAGGCTCCTTCTTCTACACTTTCCAACTTCCTCCAACTATTACTTTTCCTGGCTTGTTTTTTGCTACTGTACAGCCTGTCACCATGATTAATGAGAACTGAGCAGTCACTTTATCAACGTTGCTAACCCAAGGACACAGGTTTTGAGCAATACAGATGTTCCTCTTGTAGTGAGCAGCTGATTGCCATATCTCCTCTGTGCATTATACTTCTATACTATTCCAAACTCCAGCATGACAATAAAAGTTATAAAGATTATCTGAGGTTTTCACAAACACCAATTTTCACCTACTTAGGTATCTTGTATGACTTCCTCCACCATCAGTGGCAAGAAAGGGATTCTCCAGAGGGAAATTCTTGGCAGGAGTTATAAAGCAAGATGTTATTCACCCTCTACTAAAAGAGAAGCCTCTCCCTTCTAGTAATACCAAGAGCCTACAAACAGTAACCTGAGGAGATTAGTTAGTGTTGGGAATATGTGCTTTTTTATCCCATTCCTTTCTTATAAAATGGCACCTCATCCTGGCTGTATTTACCAACAGCAAAAATACTGATGTAGTGAATGAGGAAAGTTTGGGATTTTTTACTGCATTTAATTTAAAAGAAAAATAGGAAATTGAAAAATGATAAAATAAAAATGAATAAAAGTATTAAAAATATGTAGAAGAACCTCACATAAACAACTGTATGCTACACGCTTTAAGAATACTTCCCAAAATAAAAGTACTTACCAAACTACAGAAGAAACAAACTAAAATGTTTTTGAAAACCTAAAGCACAATTTCTCACATATCCTTAAGCTGTAACAGAAGGCTGTAACTGCCTTGTGTTGTGCCATCAGGAACAGAACTGGCACATTTCATTTCCTGCTTTATAAAAGGTCACTATA